ATCTCATCGTTATGTTTATATCTCATCATTGTGTTTATATCTCATCATTGTTTATATCTCATCATTGTGTTTATATCTCATCATTGTGTTCATATCTCATCGTTGTGTATATATCTCATCATTGTGTTTATATCTCATCATTGTGTTTATATCTCATCATTGTGTATATCTCATCATTGTGTTTATATCTCATCATTGTATTTATATCTTATCATTGTGTTTATATCTCATCATTGTGTTTATATCTCATCATTGTGTTTATATCTCATCGCAGTGTTTATATCTCATCATTGTGTTTATATCTCATCATTGTGTTTATATCTCATCATTGTGTTTATATCTCATCATTGTGTTCATATCTCATCGTTGTGTTTATATCTCATCATTGTGTTCATATCTCATCATTGTGTTCATATCTCATCATTGTGTTTATATCTCATCATTGTTTATATCTCATCATTGTGTTTATATCTCATCATTGTGTTTATATCTCATCGTTGTGTTTATATCTCATAATTGTTTATATCTCATCATTGTGTTTATATCTCATCATTGTTTATATCTCATCATTGTGTTTATATCTCATCATTGTGTTTATATCTCATCATTGTTTATATCTCATCATTGTGTTTATATCTCATCATTGTGTTTATATCTCATCATTGTGTTTATATCTCATCGTTGTGTTTATATCTCATCATTGTGTTTATATCTCATCTTTGTTTATATCTCATCGTTGTGTTTATATCTCATCATTGTGTTTATATCTCATCATTGTTTATATCTCATCATTGTGTTTATATCTCATCATTGTGTTTATATCTCATCGTTGTGTTTATATCTCATCATTGTGTTTATATCTCATCATTGTGTTTATATCGTAAGCGTAAGATATTTGTCCGCAATGTGTTCATTCACGATCATTGTGCGATCCCTGGATGAAGAGCGCTCCTCTATAAGTCCAAATTGCTGTTATTGTTGTCGTACTTTGAGGGGTTGTGTCACAGAGTGGAGGACGCTGGGTTGGCGTGTTGCTCCCCCTTGGACCGGTTTGGTGGCGAGTGAAGATTCGATTCCCCCACACGCGTTCTGCCGAGATGTACATCATCGCTGAGGCTGCTTGAGGGATGACGATTCGTTATTCCACCGTGGCGATTTAAGAGACACATTCAATTTCCTTGCTGTCGTTTTTAGATCACATGTATGAACTTGGCACACGGTAAATTCTTACATAGTGGGGATATATTTGGGGTAATCAAAGAGTTGCGAGAAAATTTTTTCGTAACAAAGTCAAAGAGTCTCCCTTGTCAATAGAGCAATGGTCTGAGTCTCAGATCCCTTGCTGGCCCTGAGCAAGTTGTGGACACTCCACATTACTATGGCAGTGCTCAGTCTACCCTCTTCTTAATCAGCACCAGCATTGTTGGCTTTCCAACACCACATGGTGGAAACTCCACGTTACTCTGGAAGGATCTTGTCGACCTTCAATTAACGCTAACACCACCGACTTTCCTGGGATTGGTGAGAAGCTCGCGTTACTATGACAGGGCCAAGTGCATCCTCATGTAATTCCACCACTGTGTTGAAGTTATTCTCCAACCTCGGAGAGACTGATGATGGTGATGACAGGGATGACAGCGATGATGGCCATGACGGTGACAGTGATTATGGTGATGATGATAATGATGACTAATGTGTATGACAATGTTGTTCAGGTTGATCAGAATGATACTGAATTGACCTCGGTTTGCTGAGCCCAACTGGGCCGCATCTCAATCTGACTCGAGTCAGTATCCTGCACGCACACTGCGCTGAGACTTGGTACACTCCGTGTCGCGTCGCGTGATGGAACCAGCCGTGCAGACCACACACACTCCCTCTCTCTCTCTCGATACTGTGGTGTGGCCTGTCTGCAAAGTCACCGACACAGCTGCGCTAGCGGGAAAATAACTCCAGAGTGTTTTAGGAGTCCATGAACACCGACAAACTCACACACTCATTCACATAGGAGTCCATGAACACTGACTCACTGACTCACTCACTGACTCACTCACTCACTGACTCACTCACTCACACACTGACTCACACACTCACTGACTCACACACTCACACACTCACTGACTCACTCACTCACTCAAAAGATAAAGATCCCCCGTATAGCCTTAACAGACTGTAGGGGCAAGTGCTGTTAGCGAGCACCTATTAAGGCCGGTAACGGTACACGAGGGGGTGGGTGGCCAGCACCACGCCCGACCGCCTTTGTCTCCATAGTGGCAATGTATACACACCGCACCATGTACTCATTTGAGGCTGAGTCGACCTAGGGGAGGCCCGAGACCGGTTCAGAAAATCGTCACTGGTGTTGGCCGTGAGCGGGAATCGAACCCGTGTCGCCGGGTTCATAACGCAGCGCGCTAACCGCTACACTATCGCTCCCCACTCACTCACACACTCACTCACTCACACACTCACTGACTCATTCACTCACTGACTCACTCACTGACTCACTCACTGACTCACTCACTGACTCACTGACTCACTCACTGACTCACTCACTCACTGACTCACTCACACACTCACTCACTGACTCACACACTTACTGACTCAGTCACTCACTGACTCACTCACTCACTGACTCACTCACTGACTCACTCACTGACTCACTCACTCACTGACTCACACACTCACTCACTCACTGACTCACTCACTCACTGACTCACACACTCACTCACTCACTGACTCACTCACTCACTCACTGACTCACTCACTCACTGACTCACACACTCACTGACTCACTCACTCACTGACTCACACACTCACTCACTCACTGACTCACACACGCACTCACTCACTGACTCACTCACTCACTGACTCACTGACTCACTGACTCACTCACTCACTGACTCACTCACTGACTCACTCACTGACTCACTCACTGACTCACTGACTCACGCACTCACTCACTGACTCACTCACTCACTGACTCACTGACTCACTGACTCACTCACTCACTGACTCACTCACTGACTCACTCACTGACTCACTCACTGACTCACTGACTCACTCACTGACTCACTCACTCACTGACTCACTCACACACTCACTCACTGACTCACACACTTACTGACTCAGTCACTCACTGACTCACTCACTCACTGACTCACTCACTGACTCACTCACTGACTCACTCACTCACTGACTCACACACTCACTCACTCACTGACTCACTCACTCACTGACTCACACACTCACTCACTCACTGACTCACACACTCACTCACTGACTCACTCACTCACTGACTCACTCACTCACTGACTCACACACTCACTGACTCACTCACTCACTGACTCACACACTCACTCACTCACTGACTCACACACGCACTCACTCACTGACTCACACACTCACTCACTCACTGACTCACACACTCACTGACTCACTGACTCACTGACTCACACACTCACTCACTCACACACTCACTCACACACTCACTCACTCACACACTCACTCACTCACTGACTCACACACTGACTCACACACTCACTGACTCACTGACTCACACACTCACTCACTCACACACTCACTCACACACTCACTCACTCACACACTCACTCACTCACTGACTCACACACTGACTCACACACTCACTGACTCACTCACACACTGACTCACTCACTCACTGACTCACACACTCACACCCTGACTCACTCACTGACTCACTCACTCACTCACTGACTCACTCACTGACTCACCCACTGACTCACTCACTGACTCACTCACTCACTGACTCACTCACTGACTCACCCACTGACTCACACACTGACTCACTCACTGACTCACTCGCGCTCTGCGGGACGACCCGGCGGGTGCGTGTTGCCCGCGCGTTGCAGAGGTTCGCGGTTCGAATCGGACAGGCCGCCACGATTAATACGTTCGGGTGTATTAACCGTCGTTAAGGCTACGCCTCGTCGTCTGCTTCGATCACGGCGGATGTCACAGACGCAGCGAGGTCATTCGCAAGAGGCGGCCCTCTGTGTACCGGTAGGCGTTACGGGGTGCCAATTTCGTTTTCCGGATTTGAAAAACGACACCGCAAATGTACACACATTACACGAGACGAGGCGATCATTGCTCGCCGACTGTGAAACAATCGGCAGGACCCTCCTGCAAACGACTCGTGAGACTCAATGAAACTCTCCTGGGCAAACTAATACATGTTCAAACTACACCACAACAACCATCGCATGATGTTACAGGGGGTAAGGTAAACGCATTGCACAAAGTGTGCACACGAGGATGGATCGTAGCGTTCCTCCTTCTCGCACGACAGCTCGGGGGCAGCTGGAGGGCAGCCGGAGACAGTTAGGGAGGGGGGGGCAGCTGATGGGGGCAGCTGGGGGCAGTTAAGGGGGGCAGCTAGGGGGGTATCGAGGGGGGCGGGGCAGCTGTGGGGCAGCTGGGGGTAGTTAAGGGGGGCAGCTAGGGGGGGCATCTAAGGGGGGGGGGCAGCTGTGAGGCAGCTGAGGGCAGTTAGGGGAGGGGGGTAGCCAGGCGGCACCAAGGGGCAGCTCGGGGGGAGCAGCCGGGGCAGCGGGGAGCGGGCAGCTGTGGGGCTGCCGGGGAGAGCCATGACGGAGCGATGCCATCCGAGTGGAGTTCGTGGAGCACCTTTGGTCACTTCAGAACTCATTCACACGACTGACCTGTGTGCGGTGTTAGAACATACGGGGTTAGTGCACGGGGTGTTAGCGATGCGGCGTTAGTGCACGGAGTCTTAGCGCACGGGGTGTTAGTGCACGGGGTGTTAGCGATGCGGCGTTAGCGCACGGGGGGTTAGTGCACGGGGTGTTAGCGATGCGGCGTTAGTGCACGGAGTCTTAGCGCACGGGGGGTTAGTGCACGGGGTGTTAGCGATGCGGCGTTAGTGCACGGAGTCTTAGCGCACGGGGGGTTAGTGCAAGCGTGTCAGAGATGCGGCGTTAGATCTGAGCGCGCGGTACCTGGAGCGGTGTGGCTGGGCGCTCTTGCTGGTGCCGTGCTGACAGCAGTGAGTGTGGAGTGGGGAGTGTGGAGTGGGGAGTTTGGAGTGGGGAGTGCGTGTGTGCCCTTGGGCTGTGGGCGGCCAGGGACAAGCACAGACGACCCTACCCCACCCCACACACACATAGCCAGATATATACACATAGCCACACAGCCAGATACACACATACATAGCCACACAGCCAGATACACACACACACACATAGCCACACGGCCAGATACACACACACATAGCCACACAGCCAGATACACACACACACATAGCCACACGGCCAGATACACACACACATAGCCACACAGCCAGATACACACACACACATAGCCACACAGCCAGATACACACACCTACATAGCCAGATACACACACACCTACATAGCCACACAGTCAGATACACACACCTACATAGCCACACAGCCAGATACACACACCTACATAGCCACACAGCCAGATACACACACACACATAGCCACACAGCCAGATACACACACACACATAGCCAGATACACACACATAGCCACACAGCCAGATACACACACCTACATAGCCAGATACACACACACACATAGCCACACAGCCAGATACACACACACATATAGCCACACAGCCAGATACACGCACACATAGCCACACAGCCAGATACACACACACACATAGCCAGATACACACACACCTACATAGCCACACAGTCAGATACACACACACATAGCGACACAGCCAGATACACACACATAGCCACACAGCCAGATACACACACACACACATAGCCAGATACACACACACCTACATAGCCACACAGCCAGATACACACACACCTACATAGCCACACAGCCAGATACACACACCTACATAGCCAGATACACACACACATAGCCACACAGCCAGATACACACACACATAGCCACACAGCCAGATACACACACCTACATAGCCAGATACACACACACACATAGCCACACAGCCAGATACACACACCTACATAGCCAGATACACACACACACACATAGCCACACAGCCAGATACACACACACACATAGCCACACAGCCAGATACACACACACATAGCCACACAGCCAGATACACACACCTACACAGTCAGATACACACACATACATAGCCACACAGCCAGATACACACACACACACATAGCCACACAGCCAGATACACACACACATAGCCACACAGCCAGATACACACACAGCCAGACACACACACACACATAGCCAGATACACACACCTACATAGCCAGATACACACACACACCTACATAGCCACACAGTCAGATACACACACACACACATAGCCACACAGCCAGATACACACACACATAGCCACACAGCCAGATACACACACACACATAGCCACATAGCCAGATACACACACCTACACAGCCAGATACACACACACCTACATAGCCACACAGTCAGATACACACACACATAGCCACACAGCCAGATACACACACACATAGCCACACAGCCAGATACACACACACATAGCCACACAGCCAGATACACATACACATAGCCACACCGCCAGATACACACACCTACACAGCCAGATACACACACACACACACCTACATAGCCACACAGTCAGACACACACACACATAGCCACACAGCTATACACACACACATAGCCAGACACACACACACAGCCAGATACACACACACATAGCCACACAGCCAGATACACACATAGCCACACAGCCAGATACACACACACATAACCAGATACACACACAGCCAGATACACAGCCAGATACACACACACACACCTACATAGCCACACAGTCAGACACACACACACATAGCCACACAGCTAGACACACACACATAGCCAGACACACACACACAGCCAGATACACACACACATAGCCACACAGCCAGATACACACATAGCCACACAGCCAGATACACACACATAACCAGATACACACACAGCCAGATACACACACACACATAGCCACACATCCAGATACAAACACACATATAGTCATGTACACGCAGCCAAATACACACAGCCAGATACACACACATAGCCAGATACACACACACATAGCCACACAGCCAGATACACACACATAGCCAGATACACACACACACCTACATAGCCACACAGCCAGATATTCACACATAGCCAGACACACACACATAGCCAGATACACACACCCTGCCAGATACACACACACATAGCCACACATCCAGATACAAACACAAATAGCCATGTACACGCAGCCAAATACACACAACCAGATACAAAACAAAGACCCCCCGTATAGTCTAAACAGACTTGGTGCAAGTGCTGTTAGCGAGTAGCACCTATGAAGGCCGGAACGGCACACGAGGGGGTGGGTGGCCAGCACCATGCCCGGCCGCCTTTGTCTCCCCAGTAGCGATGTTCACACACCGCACCAGGTACTCATTTGAGGCTGAGCCAACCTCTAGATAATCGTCACTGGGTGTCGACCGTGAGCGGGAACCAAACCCCGGTTCGCCGCGCAGCGCGCTAACCGCTACACTACCGCTCCCCACATAGACGCATACACAAAGACAAATGTCCCCCGTAACCCCTTTAACAGACTTGGGGCAAGTGCTGTTAGCGGGCACCGCCTATTCACAGAGATGCAGGGACTACGGCTGCAGAGGCCACACCCTCATCGCTCTGTCACGTAACCGCCCTTAATGGTAGCAACGTGGATTAGGGGCGACCACCACCAGCATCATCGTCACCACCACCACCAGGGCTTGCCAGGTGTTGTAGGCGCGGTGGCTACTGCGAAGTCAACTTGTCTACCTCACCCCCCCCCCCGCCTCGTGCGGGGATTCTCTCAGCTGGCGGACAAAGCGACGAGTCGGGGAACCCCCCTGACAGCCAGCACGAGATTTGTTTTCAACAACGGTGCAAAAAAAAAGAATAGGAATGATTTAAAACGCGGTTAAAATGTAAATGTATTTGAATGAAAATGCTTTAATTTACGTTCCACGTTACATTCTAACGTCACTCGCGTTGAAAAAACTGCGCCAAATCAAATATTGAGGCCCTACTCCACCGATTGTCCCCCCCCCCACCCACGCTGAGCTGATGATGTCGTTAACCACGCCACGGGATTTGGTCAAACTCCTGGACACCTGTGACAAAGAGCGTTACAGCTCATCGCATTCATCCAGTGTGAACACATGTTCACGACTATCGTCGTCAATATTCCACAGGCGCCGAATATTCACGATAAGCATCGAGCGGCGTCGAAGCGCGGACGAAGACGACAGCGGCTGGAGGTACGGACCGATGACCGAGATTCGGCACTGCCCCTTGTGAGCCAGGCAGAGGCACGGGGCCCATGGGGCAGGCACGGGAGAGAGAGGCTCGGCCACGGATCGCGGGCGCCCCCCGGTGATGGGCAGTGGAGAGGCGGGAAGTGGGGAACCACAGGGGGGTTACGGGCTCAGTGGAACTGACTACGTACGGTGCGAAAGAAGTTCAACGTACATACAGAGACACCCAGAGAGGAAGTGTCTCACTGAGACACCCAGAGGAGAGAGTGTCTCACTGAGACACCCAGAGGGAAGAGTGTTTCTACTGAGACACTCAGAGGGGAGAGTGTCTCACTGAGACACACAGAGGGGAGTGTGTCTCACTGAGACACACAGAGGGGAGAGTGTCTCTACTGAGACACCCACAGGGGAAAGTGTCTCTACTGAGACACCCAGAGGGGAGAGTGTCTCACTGAGACACACAGAGGGGAGAGTGTCTCACTGAGACACACAGAGGGGAGAGTGTCTCTACTGAGACACACAGAGGAGAGAGTGTCTCTACTGAGACACACAGAGGGGAGTGTGTCTCACTGAGACACACAGAGGGGAGAGTGTCTCTACTGAGACACCCACAGGGGAGAGTGTCTCTACTGAGACACCCAGAGGGGAGAGTGTCTCACTGAGACACACAGAGGGGAGAGTGTCTCTACTGAGACACCCAGAGGGGAGAGTGTCTCTACTGAGACACCCAGAAGGGAGAGTGTCTCTACTGAGACACCCAGAGGGGAGAGTGTCTCTACTGAGACACTCAGAGGGGAGAGTGTCTCTAGTGAGACACCCAGAGGGGAGAGTGTCTCTACTGAGACACCCAGAGGGGAGAGTGTCTCTACTGAGACACCCACAGGGGAGAGTGTCTCTACTGAGACACCCACAGGGGAGAGTGTCTCTACTGAGACACCCAGAGGAGAGAGTGTCTCTACTGAGACACCCAGAGGGGAGAGTGTCTCTACTGAGACACCCAGAGGGAAGAGTGTTTCTACTGAGACACTCAGAGGGGAGAGTGTCTCACTGAGACACAAAGAGGGGAGTGTGTCTCACTGAGACACACAGAGGGGAGAGTGTCTCTACTGAGACACCCAGAGGGGAGAGTGTCTTTACTGAGACAGCCAGAGGGGAGAGTGTCTCACTGAGACACACAGAGGGGAGAGTGTCTCTACTGAGACACCCAGAGGAGAGAGTGTCTCTACTGAGACACCCAGAGGGGAGAGTGTCTCACTGAGACACACAGAGGGGAGAGTGCCTCACTGAGCTTAACCGAAATGGGGAATATTTTTCAGATCCCAAAAAAATAGTTGACAATTTTAACCTCATTTTTCTGAAACTGGTAATCTTTTTGATAATGTATTGGGAGTCACCCCTGCTCATGCAAATTCCTACAACCCCGTCCAAACATTAAACGAATTTAGTTTCCAGCCAATCCGCGAAAGTAATGTTCTGAAACAACTGTCCTACCTCAAAGGGTCCTCCTCTACCGGAGCAGATAATATTCCCGTCTTTGCTCTACTAACTGTTGGTCACCTAATATACAAACCTATAGCCCATACTTTCAACCTGTCCATCAAAGAAGCATCAGTATCTCTAGAATGGAAACATTCCGATGTCCGTCCACTTCACAAAGGGGGCCTAAAGATGATCCAAATAACTACCGACCTATCTCAATTTTGTTCCCGTTGATGAAAATTATTGAAAAATTATTGACCTACCAAATCAGCAGTTTCCAGTCCACCAACAATGTACTACATCTAAAACAATCTGGGATCCGAAAAAAATACAGCACCACATCTGCTGCATTAGACT